CACTTGTTGAGAAACCCTGGCGTGTCTTGGAATTCAGCTACAACTTTTCGAAGACGTTGCTCAGGGGTCAATTCCTTGGCATGGACTCCTTGGTCAGCACGAAGCTTCATGATCGAAGAAAAACGCAATGACATTTGCAGGAGATTCGGAGGCTGGCGTTCTGCACCTCTCAGAGAAAGGACCATGTTCAAGTAACTGCAGGTCGCTTCATCAATGTTCATCCTCACCTTAGTACACACTGCTCACCTGTGAATGGGTTTATTGAAAACAAGATGAAGCCCACGAACCCGAATGCTCACACGTATGTTAATGGTATGGTTATGCAGTCACGCACAATACCTTTCTGCAATAGTTTATATTTGAACAGTCTTGTACATGTTTGCCTTGTTACCAGTCTGCAGTGTGGGGTGGAAAGTGTAGAGTGTGGAGTGTGGAGTGTGGAGTGTGAAGTAAGGAGTGTGGAGTGTAAAGTGTGGAGTGGGAGTGTAGAGTGTGTAAAGTGTAGAATGCGGAGTATAAAGTGTAGAGTGTGGAGTATGGAGTGTAAAGTGTAGAGTGTGGAGTGTAAAGTGTGGAGTGTAAAGTGTGGAGTGAGGAGTGTAAAGTGGAAAAGCGTGGAGTGTAAAGTGTGGAGTGTAAAGTGTGGAGTGAGGAGTGTAAAGTGGAAAGCGTGGAGTGTAAAGTGTAAAGTGTGGAGTGTAGAGTGTAAAGCGTAGAGTGTGGAGTGTAAAGTGTGGAGTGTAAAGTGTGGAGTGTGAAGTGTGGAGTGTGGAGTGTAAAGTGTGGAGTGAGGAGTGTAAAGTGTGGAGTGTAAAGTGTGGAGTGTGGAGTGTGGAGTGGAAAGTGTGGAGTGTGAAGTGTGGAGTGTAAAGTGTGGAGTGTGGAGTGAGGAGTGTAAAGTGTGGAGTGTGGAGCGAGGAGTGTAAAGTGTGGAGTGTGGAGTGTAAAGTGTGGAGTGTGGAGTGAGGAGTGTAAAGTGTGGAGTGTAAAGTGTGAAGTGTAAAGTGTGGAGTGTGGAGCGTAAAGTGTAGAGTGTGGAGTCTGGAGTGGAAAGTGTAGAGTGTGGTGTGTAGAGTGTGGAGTGTAAAGTGAGAAGTGCAAAGTGTGGAGTGAGGAGTGTAAAGTATAAAGTGTGGAGTGTGGAGCGCACAGTAATGTGGAGTGTAAAGTGGGGAGTGTGGAGTGTAGAGTGTGGAGTGAGGAGTATAAAGTGTAGAGTGTGGAGTGTGGAGTGGAAAGTGTAGAGTGTGGTGTGTAGAGTGTGGAGTGTGGAGTGTAAAATGTAAAGTGTGGAGTGTAAAGTGTAGAGCGTGGAGTGTAAAGTGTAGAGCGTGGAGTGTGGAGTGTAAAGTGTAGAGTGTAAAGTGTAGAGTGTGGAGTATAGAGTGTAAAGTGACGAGTGTAAAGTGTGGAGTGAGGAGTGTAAAGTGTGGAGTGTGGAGTGTAAAGTGTGGAGTGTGGAGTGTAAAGTGAGGAGTGTAAAGTGTGGAGTGTAAAGTAAGGAGTGTGGAGTGTAAAGTGTGGAGTGTAAAGTGTAGAGGGTGGAGTGTAAAGTGTAGAGTGAGGAGCGAGGAGTGGAAAGTGTAGAGTGTAGTGTAAAGTGTGGAGGGTGGAGTGCAAGTCTTAGGTGAGGAGTGAGGAGTGTAAAGTGCAAAGTGTAAAGTGTAGAGTGTGGAGTCTAAAGTGTAAATTGTGGAGTGTGGAGTGTAAAGTGTAGAGTGTGGAGTGCGGAGCTTCCCCCATAGACACGGCGACGCCACAGGAAAACCAGAGACTCGAGACGAGACACGTGGGTGCAAAAAAACGAGCATTTCGTGCGAGACTGCCTCCAATTTTGAATTTTTTTACACGTTATCAAACAGGTTGGAATGTCACGAAGTGCCACGCCTGCCACGCAAAACGACATGACAACCTGCGTGGAAACATTCGAAAAGGAGAGGTTTTGCGGCTTCCCCCATAGACACGGCGACGCCACAGGAAAACGAGACACACAGACAAGACACGTGGATGCAGAAAAAAGAGCGTTCCGTGCGAGACTTCCTCCAATTGTGTCATTTGCGACACATTATCAAACAGGTTGGAATGTCACAAAGTGCCACGCCTGCCACGCAAAACGACATGACAACTTGCTTGGAAACATTCGAAAAGGACAGGTTTTCCAGCTTCCCCCATAGACACGACGACGCCACAGAAAAACAAGCGACTCGAGACAAGACACGTGGATACTCGAGCGAACACACCCTCAACCCCCAGACCCCCAGAGTGAAACGGGAACCCTTGCTACGCATTCGGGAAAAACCTGGATGAGTTTGAAAAATGAATCTGAATGAATTTCGAGAAAATGAGTCTGAATGGCTTTTCATATATTTCAAAATTAGGAACTTTAGCTGGAAGCAGCCATGCGAAATCCAGAATCGGAAAGAGGGGCCGCAGGATGTCCATGGCATCAGGGCTGCTAAGGTCAACATCTGCTGCACTCAACATGGTGAAGAGCACACGCTGTGTCTTCGTGTAGCCCTTGATGATGCGCAAGGACAGAAGATCCACTTTGACTGTCTGACCTGCACAGGCCAATGGTTGTTACATAAAATCACAGCTCTGTAATGACAGCCTCATGAACTATGAGACTAAAAGGGTAAGCCAGCCTGGTGCCACATCCACCTAAGTCTAGAACAAGTTCATGTCAAAGAATCACTGAGCCACCACTGTTTTGGTTTTGCCTTGCAAATCTTTATGTCAAAGCGCTATAGAGTTTTCAGGCCCCTGCCGTGATATCGATCGGCTCTCTGCCAATGTCTAATCCAGCAAAGACCATTCCTTCGAAGCAGGTGATCCAATCCTCCAAGAGTGGCAATCCATCCTCTGGAACTTGCTGCCTCAATCGACAAAGAAGAGAGGAACATAATAGAAGAACATACAAATGTGAGCAGGACACAGAATCTGAAAGAGATACAGCCCACAGTATATATAAAGTATAAGAACAACTTTCTGCTGGCTAGGCTCGAAAGGGTGATCACAGGAAGCTTGATGATATCGCTTTGCATCGAGCTTTCGATCACCTCATAACATTGACTCTGTTACCGAAAGGAGCAAAGATCAAATCAACAATGACAGTAAAAAATCAATGATATCAAACTCAATTTTGTCAAACTCAAAGATATCAAACTCAATGAATAGAGATTAGATGTCAATTTCAAACAAGAAGCAGTGTTGTTGGCTTCCTTGTAGTTGAGAATGACACCCATAGCAGCCCTCTTTGCCACATACTCTTGATACCACCCTTCAAGGGACACGAAGGGACAGAGCAGTCATCTCAGCATTCTTACATGCCAGCGTGTCCAACACCAGCTGCCCGGGGTGCATGATGCCCTCACATGTTGGATGCTGCTGAAGATGTTGACGGATATGGGTCAGGTGCCCAAGCAGTTCCTGACAATTTCAACATAGAATTGCATTCTCAAAAATAATTTCAACACTAAAATGCTTAACACAATGGGCACACTCAACTCCGACCCAGTCCTTGACCAAAGCAACATTGCCCTCCATTTTCTTCAGTTGTTTCTCATACTGGGTGCAACTAACTTTCGTGGCTGGCTCGCCATCACCTTCCTTGACCTCTTGCTTCTTGGTCTTTGCGGCCCACGGCGAGATCATTGAAACGCAGCAAAAAAAGGAATCAGCTCACTGATGGCGGTGAATTGAATCTGAATCTGACACTAACCACAGTCACTCACTAAGCTCAGCCAAAATCCCTTCATCATAAAACACACACGTAGACGAACCCAAGCCAGGTACATTGAATTTTTTTTGGGGACTCAACTTAAAAGTCAATGTATCAGACTAGGTTTGATACATTGATCTGTTTGGGACGTAGGGCTGCAACATTGAAATCAAAAATCAAAGTCAAGTTTAAAGTCAATGCCTCCCCCCTACGCACTCCAATGTATCAAACCTAGTTTGATACATTGAAATTTAAGTTGGGTCTCCAACAAAAAGTCAATGTACCTGGCTTGGCCTTCAATCGAATTCGCATGACCATAGCCCAAATCTCCTATGACCAGCCCAAAAGTAAGATCACCAAAATCAATGCACATACCTAGGTTTGATACATCATCTTCCCCAAAATCAATGGACATAACGAGGTTTGATACATTGATTTCTCTCGGTTTGACTCCCAAAAACTTACATGTGCATCGATTTTTTCCTCCTCAGGGTTGGATGTGCATCGATTTTTTCTCCTCAGGGTTGGATGTGCATCGATTTTTTCTTTTGATGGCCCAAAAAGCTTCATGTGCATCGATTTTCCCTTTTGGTGGCCCAAAAAGTTTCACGTGCATCGGTTTTTTCTTTTGATGGCCCAAAAAGTTTCATGTGCATCGATTTTTTTGTTCTGATGACGTCATGTGCATCGATTTTTTTTTGTGCTGATGACCTCGTGTGCATCGATATTTTTGTGTTGATGACCTCATGTGCATCGATTTTTGTGTTGATGACCTCATGTGCATCGATTTTTTGTGTTGATGACCTAATGTGCATTGATTTTTTTGAGGTTGATGGCCTGAAAAAATCATGTGCATCGATTTTACTGTTGGATTTTGATTTTCTAGTTCTTCCCTCAAACAGGAACAGGACTCCCGAAGATTAAAGCTTTTGAGTTTAGGGTTTAGGGCTTTGGATTTAGGGTTTTGGATGTTCCATATATTTCTAATAAAAGTATATTATATATATATACAAATATACATGTAAATATTTAACAAACCTGTGCAAATTCCCATACATCTGATCAAACTCATGATTTCAAATTGAAGTGATTGTGTGGTTTTGAATTTGAAGCTGTATTTGGCTGATTCTGACACCACAGCCAAGCAAGCAATCGATTTCTTCCCAGGCGCGTGATGTCTAGGCGTTGCCACGAGACCAAATGGCCCTTAAAGGGGCAGATGGCGCCAACGCATCCAGAACACATTTGTGCAGATTGAAAACAGGTTCGCCCCGAAACCTCACACCATCAACTTGAAGCCGAGGAATGTCTTCGAGGACTGAGTTGTTGTGAAAGTAGCCATTGACCAAATGACGGAGGTATTGGGCTGCAGGTTGTAGCTGTCACCATAGTATTGTTCCACAGCAGTTGCTAACTTCTGCCATTGAACTTTGACAGTATCTGACACAACTCTTCGTGGATGTTTGTCAACTGGAATGTTGGGAATCCTTGATGCCCGTGCTTCTGTGAAGACAAGCAAGGGCTTCTGGCCCGGCTCAGGGTCTCCAATGTACTTTTTGACAAGACAGACCACATCGTCATTGCGGACTGCATGCCTGTTGCTGCCTCTATCCACTTGGCGCTGCAGTGCTGCTGGCAAATCTTAGTCAAACAAGATACAGCAAACAAGTTTCCACAAAATGAAAGGATGAAATTACAGCCAAATCAAAGGGACCTTGGAGCTGCATTGCCATAAAGACATGATTGGCTGATGCGTCCTCCAGGAGACCACCTTCAAGAGTCACACCGATCTTGTCGTACATGGCTCTCCAACCATGGTACACCTGAGCTAAGCTTGATGCAAAGACCATGCTCTTGGTGTCATGATTGTGAAGGAAGGCATTTTTGAAAGAACACCTCCAGCCCCCAATTCTCTGAGTTGCATTCACTTTTTTGATTTGAATCTCTGTGTTGATGCCGACCCAACTTCGCAGTCCAGGTTTTGCACATTCATCTTGTAATATGGATACCATATCCTAAGTCCCAGTGCGAGAGAGAGCATTAGGCCAAAAAGAATTGAGACAGAAGAGGACATTGCAACTGCAAGAAACTCACATCAATCCCTTGCCTCATCAGTCAGCATCTTATCACAATTCGCCAGTCTTCTGCTCAATATTCCCCAAAGCTGATCTGCCATGTCATGGAATCCAAGTAAATTCAGGGAAACAGCCATGGGCAACTTCAGCAAACTCGAAACAGGCCAAGCCTATGCGATCGTGGGTATGAGATTTTCTCAACATCATGAGGGTGCCACTTCTGAATCTCCCACGTGCAATTTGGTGATGGACCCACGCCATCACAAAACGATTTTTGGCTTCTCGAACGGTATTATCTGCCTCAGGCATATCATAATATGGGATGAGAAACTAAAACGCTGTTGTCTTCCTGCTGAATCTGACAAGACTCTGATTCTGATTTCTTTTTTGGCTGAGCAGCAACTATGCAGACATGACGAGGTCGTTGAATTTGATTTTGATCACATATCTCAAAAGCCTCAAGGGAACTCTCAGGGGATCAACACACAAGCATGCAGTCACAAGCAGTAACTGCATAATCACTGAAAGTAAGTTTAAGCCAAGAAGCACGTTGGATAGTCCTTGCTAAAATTTCAATTATACAGGCACTGTCGTGTTTGGATGTCTCGTCCAGACACCACAGCTGCAGTGTGAAGCCAAACGCCCAACAGCCGTGAAGTTTCATCCTGGGCTTTTGCAATTTCGACCTAAGCAAGCTCACACTCACCACATTCACCACATTCAACATTGAAATTTCCAGCACACATTCGCCACAATCAAATTCAGATTCACCCTGCTAATGTGTTTTGTCATGTCCATTGGCATGAGGCTTGGGCGTGGAGCTTGATGTCCTCAATCCTCGATGCCGCGGCACTGCGAACTTGGCCTGCTCCATCGCATCCAACCATAGTACCAAGACATCTCCATCACGTTGATTGGCTACGTCACAGAGCTGCCACGCAATAGATCTATCGTTATATTGATCCTTCAAGTGTCGCCGGTACTGGGTCACTGCACCAAGCTTCTCACTCAGAGGTACATTCTTGTCGTGCAGCTGCAACTTGAGTTGCTCACACACATCACAGACTGTGAACCTAAGCCAACACACGGCAGATGAACATATCACAACATTGTTTTGTCCTGCTTTTGTAAATTGAAAACAGGTAACTCTGTTTTGTGACGAAAGCCCAACACATCCTTCCAATCAGCCTGGTACACCCTGACAAAGGTGTTGAACCTTCAGATCCAGGTTCAGTAATGAAGGATCCAGTGATGAAACGAGTAAATCACTGCATGTTGCACATCTTTCAAAAATGAAACCTAGTAACGACGCAGCAGGACATTCCAAGAGTTGTTGCACAGTTTGGTAGTGGTCAAAGAGCTCAGCCAAATTGCCCGGGGGAAGCCATCTCTTGGCCAAAGTAGCTGCATTGACACAAGCATTGTGCACTGCTGTGTCTGAACGGTCCAACCACTCCAGTAAGTCCCGGTCGTCATCTCCAGGATCAGAAGCAACTTCGCCATCCGAACTGTCACTGCCACAAGAACGCTTTGATTTACTCCTCCTAATAAATTTGTCTGGTAGGCATTCCCCAAGCTTTGCATAAGCATTGTGAAAGAATGCACGAACAGATTCAGACTGCACTGTTGATCCACGCTGCTGCGTGCCACATCGCAGGTCTTGGGCCCCAGCTTCTGTGCGGGCAAGACGTCCTTTGCCAATGCCCGGGATAGTCACGAGACATACCCCTTAGAGATTCAGAGGAAGAATAGTTTGTTTACATGATGCCAAACCCACAACACATATCACACAACAATGATTGCATTCTAGCTTCGGTTCCGGACTTCGAAACCAACAACATTCCACTTCTGGATGTCGCCACTCCCACCAAAGGCCGTAGACAACTTGGAAGGCAATGATTCCAAAGACCCTCAAACTTGCATAAATTCATATCACCTGAGCTCCAGACTAGGTGATCTTGGTTTGGCTTCGGCATGCTCCCCAACTTCTGCAGAAATACAACCAATTCCTTCAGCTGGAACTGCTTGAAACAGTTCTGAAAGGCACCTCAAGAGCAGGGAACATTGAGGAAGAAGATAACAACTAAAAACAGTTGAGACTTTGAGATTGATAGCATCTCAAAAAAAATCACCTATGGAAATGACATGAGGTTAACATCTATAAACCATATGCTGACAAATACTGTTTTGACCATTGCTGAGCAAGGCGCATTTGCAAGTTTGCTGCAGCAACTGTTCAACACGTCCATAGTCAGCCCCGTTTTTTGAAAAAGTTCCACTCTTCCGCCGCTTTGGATTTTCTGCAGCAGCTGCTGCATGGTTCTTGTTGTTGTAGGATCGTTTCACCACAGTTTGTGTCTTCTCTTGTGCGTCATGTTTCGACCAAGCTGTCGCTTTGTTGAAATTGGCTAAGGTATCCCAGCCAAGTGCAAAAGTTGATGAAGTTCCATTTCTAGAAAACTCCGGCTCTGACTCACTATCCTCAGAGCTTTCATCACCAAAAGGTTTCAATTTCAAACTCTGATTTTTTTCTGGTTTCGGTCTTTCACATCTCTTTCTTCACCTTCTTCCCCATACGGCTGAACATGCCTTTGAGGAGCAGCAGCAAGGGGTAGAGCTCGTTTCCGTTCAGGCCCTTCACTTTGGAACGGTGGCATGTTCTATGAGTATGAGTATGAGCCAAAAAATGAGTCACCAAACAAAGTTGTATTGTGAGTTTGAGTTGCAAGATTTTCTGTAACATGACAGCAAGGAGGCCCAGGCACACTTTTCTGTCAAGACGGAACAGTTCGACGAGCGATCAATGAAGATCATTTTGAATTTGACACCGGCTGCAAAGCCAGCACTGCTACCAGCAAAGCAAAACCTACACAACGCAGGTGCATTCCGTTCCCTGCGTAGTCCAAAAGTTTTTTCTGTGGGATGTTGTCAATGTCGACAGGGTCCTGAGCACAATTAGAAGCATGCCTCTTTAATGGAGTTTCCAAAGTGTCCAGGGCCCTGACCACTTTCGCAGCAGCACACGAAGGCGCACACGGAAAACCAAGTGTGAGGAGGCTCTCGCGGGCAGTGACCATCCTCTGCTTTTCCTCTGACCTCACATGACAAAATTAGTTTCAAGTTTCCCTCATGTTTTTCATATTGTGGCAAACCATGGCGAAACCTGTTTGGCTGACGAGAAGCCAAAGATCCATTTTTCTGAGTTTTTGTCCTCCACCCGCGGCCTCTCGAGCGGGTTCTGGGACAACGAGAAGAACTTTGATCCTTCAAATTTGGCCCTGTAGCGTGCCAAGTGAGTCTTCTGATTCCTGCCACATCACATTCAAAATCAAGGAAAAAAGGTAAGGCATAGTTTACTTTTCAACATCAGTAATGCTGTGACCTCACAATCATCAAACTCACAGTCAGTCCTGGTCAGATCCTTTTCACAGATGAAAGAGTCTTTCTCGGGATTACTGACAAGAAAAGCGCTGGGCGATAGAGTTGGCAGAGCTGAGGATGGAAACAGAATCATCTTGACCAGTTCTTCGAACTCCCAGTCCTAAGTCACACACACAAGCGCCAAATTAATAAACAAGTAAGAAAACCAATTTTTTGGGAGGCATGCACCAATGTGCTTGGCCAAGCAGCCAAGGACCAAGCCAGTCTTTGGGGATCCCATGTGATTCGGTAATGTCGACTTCGACGGCAAGGATACCCAAACATTTGGGGCACCAACCTGCATGTCAACTCTGTCCCAGTTTAAATCAACTTTCAAATCATGGACGCTATGACAGGCTGGCCTTGCTTTTTGTATCTTCTGTCCAATTTGCTCCAATTGTTTCTGACAGCGCAGCGGACCAAAAAAAAACATATCTGTATCTGACATAATCTTAACTTAATGTCTTGCAAGATCATACTGACCCCTGACCTGATCATACTCCGGCACATTCTCATGGATGTTGCAAGCCATGGCTTTCATGGCTTTTGTTCCGACACTGTGCACCTGGCTCCGTTTGATGTTCTTGAACCCTTCCTTCTTGCCCATCCTTACCAAGACACACACATACAGCAAGGGGTGGATCAAAGCTTGGTTTGAAGAACATTATGGTGAACATGTTTATCGACATATGTGTGAACGTGAAAATTTGAGTCTGAGTCTCTTGGAGAAGAGTTGACATGGTGCCCCCAGGACACCAATAGTATCAGACCTCTTGGACAGATCCAACGAACACTGTTTGTTGTGTCGGATGCAACACCCCTTCTTCTTGAATTTCACCTCCAAAGGTGCCATGAGCCGATCTTCTGGGATCTTGTTTGTGATTAACTCCATGATGCCTCCAAAAATGCAGCCACCATTGAACCACTGCAGCAAGCACTCCTGGCACCCTTTGTCTATTTCTACCTTGGCAGATGGTTACAGTACAGTAATAAGGATTAAGATTATTTTCTGACAGTGGTTTTGTAATCACACTGACAAGTGAGGCTCAGACAGAAAGTGCGAAGTCAACTCCAGGTGAGATGCCAAACATCTCAACGCTGGCAGCTGTGATGAAGGCCCAAGCATGCTTAACACAATCAATCCCAGAAAAGAAAGAATTGGCACACCATGCGCGACTCAAGCGTGACTTGAGCTCTTCAACGCCCAAGACCTCGGCAAATCTATCCAGGATGAAGAACGCCCAGCACCTGAGACAGCGCTGCAAACAAAATTCGACAGCCCAAAAACAACACATGAACATCTTTGC